ATGCTCCCATTTCACCTTTACCTAGCTTCTCTAACCAAAAGGGCACTCAATTGTTTTTTCACAGACAGCGTAAAAGCATGCCCTTTTGGTTAGAGATGATGAAAAAGGCACAGAAAGTTGAATTTTTAAAGTCCAGACACTAATAGCATTTTGTGATGTTGGAAATGGAGGGTTTAGGGGCCCCTTGGATGTTCCTAGATTATGCTCAACCTGGTTATTTGTACCCAAATGCAAATACTGCTAAAAATACACTTCCATAATCTCTTTTGGCAGGGGGAATGAAATTTAATCAGCCTTGCACTCAGGGCATTCTTCACTGCTCATAAAATGGGGGGGCTGAGGGGGCAGTTTCTGTATGGACCCACCCGCAAGCTGATGGCTGTGCAAAACTGTCCTTGTCAGCCAGTGCCACCAAGTGGAATATCTAAGTATTATAAACAACCTTCACAATCTTTCAGACACGGTAAAGAAACGCATTGTCTCCTTGCAGGCTCTATATTCTTCTACTGATGAAAATGTTGAACAATCTGTCACGTCACAGGGGTGGACAGATGCGTAGTAAGTTTGATCGAAAAGGATGGGAGGAATGTGTTTAAAAAATGCTGAAGGGGGATCAGATAAAAAGATCTACTGTTTTTGCAGGACTATGAGGACTCTCTTCATCCCCACAGTATACACTACCAGAAGAATGATCAGTGCCCACCACCATCGCAGACCTTACCAGAACGAGCATGTGAAGTGCCCAGCTGCCGATCAGACTCAGAGTGCGAGAAACACAAACGTTGTTGCTACAATGGATGCATCTATGCCTGCTTAGAATCGGTGCCACCACCCCCAGGTAGGCCAGCCCATAATATCTCATGCTGAAGATTCTATCAGGGTAGATCCAAAGACCACTTGGCCACTGGGAACCTTGCAACAATTGCTGTACTCCAAAACGTCATGGAAGTTGCATATTTTTTAAAATTGTCCTTCAAGTCTTCCACAAGGGTGGGTGTAAGATCAATGGAAGCATCTCTTTAAACTGGTAGATCTCATTGTTTTCCAAGATACTATTATGGGGTTCTACAAAAAGGATGAATGGAACACATGGAGAAGGCAAGAACCATTAGTATGGCATGGATCATTGGACCATTGATATGGCATGGTGTGACTCATTGGCATAACGTCTTATGTTCGTTTTGTTAAATGCTTGTTCTTTGTAATATGAGATATCTTTTTTTTGAAAAGTTTTAGATTGGCTGATTCAGCCCAAACCCCGTTGGTTGGGTGGAAATGGCTGGCTACTGGATGGACCGGAGGAAGTTCTACAAGGTACAGCAGTAGTCACGAAAATGGTACATCGTTCAAAAGCTGGCAAAGCCATGTATGAAGTTACTTTACATGGGGCTGCTTTAGAAGAAGACTATTTGTCCACCTAGTTCAGTCTTGTCTTATCCCTTTCAGCAGGGATTCTCAAACTGTGGGTTGTGACCCCCTTAGGATCAAAAAAACACCTGTTTTATTCATCAGGAAGGTCACACAAATTTATTTCTTTTTTAAGGGAGTTCTGGCATGGCAAAGTGTGAGAAGCCCTGACTTTCAGCATCTCTCCCAGTTCCCAGAAAAAGATCTCCAATCACGTGATTGGTTAGGTCAGAAATTTGAGACTTCCAGTACACCAGACATATGCTTCACCATCAGCTGTGGCTGTTCTCCAGAAAGAAAGTCAACATAAAGGAGCTAACATTTGCTACTTTTCAAGAGCAACCCCCTTGTTGCATTGTTAATCAATCAGAAAAAATGGACCAAGCCATCATTGAACCTTTTTTAATAATAAACTTTTTTAATAATAAACTTTTTAATAAACCAAACTTTATTTTCTTTCTAATAAATGGTGCTCAAGGCAGCATGTTGGATGGCATAGACAGATATGTGATGGCCTGCTAATGCCTTTTGCATCAAATTGTTCTTAAATCCACATGAACCCAGGGAGTAATAAGTTTGGAAAAGCTCTTGTATCAAGATGTTGGGCTTCCTGAACAAGCTGTTTAATCAGCACGGCCTAAGAGAGGTGAACCACCGATGTTAGCATGAAACCATCCATCACTGCAGAATTCTGCAAACCAAGCCAAACAAGCAGAAGGCCTGTGGGCCATTAGTGGATGGTGGGTTTCCAATTATCCTTCTTGGGATTAGCCCTCAAGCCTTGAAGCAGAGAAGTGGATAAGGAAGGGAAAAGAGGGTGAGGGTCAAAGGAGGAGGATGGACCATCAATGACTTTGAAATGTTTGCTTTCATAGCTGAAACATGCAGCACCACTGAGGATGGGGACGACCCACTGCATTGTCCAACAGGATTTGAGTGCCACATCATTCATCCTGGGAATGCTGCTGAGGGTATCCCCAACCAGGGGCAGTGCATCAAGCTACGCACAAACTCTGGTATGTTACTAGTGTGAATGTGAAGCATCTGAACCCATAAGTCATGGCCATGTGAGATAACATGCTAAAGTCATATTCATAATGACATCTTGCAGAAGGCAGACAAGGGGGAGGGTGTGTTCATTAGAAGTTGCCCTAGAAGGGGTGGGGGAGAGGAAGAACTGGGCCGAAGGTTGAGGGACCTCATTTTGGCCCTGCCTCCACACTCCATAATTTAGATAGCCCCAAATCTGGAATTACCTTTGGAAGCTGGTGCTGATACATAAAATGAAATAAAACAGTGCTGTTTTCTGCCATGGTTCTCCAGCCTTCCTGGATTCCAGAGACCAGGTGTCTGTGCAACCTTCCTAGAGAACCCAAAGCAAAGTTAATATCCCCTGGGGCAGGGTTCCTCAACCTTGGTGACTTGAAGATGTGTGGACTTCAAG